CTCCAGAGTTAATATATGCACAGTTAGCTCCAGAGTTAATATATGCAGCATTAACTCTGGAGCTAGTGTGTGCAGTTAGCTTCAGAGCTAATTTATGCAGACTTCGCTACAGAGCTGATGTATGCATGCACAGCTTTAGCTCCAGACTTAATTGTTAGATAATGCGCAGCGTTAGCTCCAGTTTTATGCGGTCAGCTCCAGAGCCAACATGTGCAGCATTAGCTTCAGAGCTAGTTTAGTCACAAGTTGCTAACGTTTCAAAATGATGATTGTCATAACTTTAAGCCTCGACTCCTTTTGTTTTAATACCTGCTGTACATACTACATTATCAGTTTAGAGAAATTATTTATTCGTGACCAGATTATTGAGCTAACGACTAGTGCATGCTGGGCCAAAACCAAAGTGGATCTCTGCTGTTTTAAGCTCATGCTAACTCTGATTTATAAACGTTCCCATCACCATCAGTACACATCGAGGTTTTTCCTAACAGAAATACTACGACTGTTGCAAGAGGTGCTACAGCTAGCTGCTATATAGCTTGTCTGTACAGGATAAACTTTTGGTGCAGGGAAGCCAAAGTCAACTAAAAATCAAACATTTAAATTATTTTACGACATAAATTCATCTCAGGGTCAAATTCTTGGGAATTTGGCTGCAGACTGAAGCTTCAATGACCACGAGAACATCAGCTAAACCCATGAATCCTTTATTAAATACAACATATTTGCGACGTGTAGGAGAAGACACGGACATCCTTCAGTTTGGCCCCTCGTCAAACTTCGGCTCTGTGGAAATGAAACGGTCAAAATTAATTTAGAAAAAACCACAACGTCAAAAGAACACAGAAGCGCAGGAATAAAAAGCCTCTGGAGGTGACGTTTCTGTCACCATCTCTGCTATTTTTAGACCCAGATGACAGCGCATCTGTTCAGAGGCAGAAGAATAAATATTCATGGCGCTGAGCTATAAACCGTGTCGAAGCAAAAAAACATTTGCGTCATAATAACCGCGCCTCGCCGTTACACCGGCACTGCGGCTATTAGTGCCTTTATTGCGTGAAACTAAGTGCGTATAAACTGCTGGCGGCACAATATTTACCCTCCGGGGACCAAGAAAGCACTTTCCCTAATTAGAATCATAAATCAGGAGCTTCTACGAGGAAGGAACTCTGGCCTAAACTTCCATATTTTAACCGTTCCATAAATAACTTTCACCTAAACTATAAAATTAAACTCTCCGTCAGAAGTCTGTCCTTCTGTAAGAAGCTGATATAGAGATAAATTAGTGTCAGGAGCATTCAGACGTGCGTACAATAAGAACTAGGCCTGTCACGATAAAATTTACTGGGCAATTAATCGTCTCAACAATTATTGCGATAAACGATAATATTGTTTGAAATTTGACAATAATTAGTAATTATTGTCAAATTTAAGAAGAAATGTCGATTTGTTTTGAGTGTAGTACCTTGATTTTGACCACCAGATGGCAGTATAAGTGTTTGAACAGAAGGATGGATAGTGAGGGAGCGAGCAGCGTGTCTCTAAGAAAAATGGGAGGGAGGCCCCTTGACGTGACATGGGCTGTCTCTCCTTTTTTCATTCTCAAAATGGCGGACGCTCGGTGTGATTTGAGCTCTTTAGCATCGCATTTTTCACACAAAGCTTTTAATAAAAAATAAAAAAAAACAGTCAAGTTCTCAACTTCTTTTCGCAGAAAAAACAAATTTTTAGATGAAAGCACGGGTTTCAACCACGAATTTGAGCGTCGACAAGACGGAGGTTTTTCCCCCGACGTCGGCCTGTTAGCTTAGCTCGTAGCTTAGCTGCTTTTAACGATCCAAAAACGTGATTTTTGGATTGTTAAAACGGATTTTAAAGAGAAAAGAGGAAGGGAAGAGCACCGGAGTTGAGCCTTTTGTCATCCGGTGTCTTCAGTAGAAAGAGCGAGACATGAAAAAACGATAAAGCCGATGTGATTAATTGATTTATTGCGACAGGTCCAACACAAAAAGTACTGGAAATTAGATTTTTCCTGTAATTTCCACAAAATTTTAATTTTGTAAACGTCCCACAATGGGTAGGTTATTCTAATGTTGGAAAGGGACATTTTTCCTTCTTTATCTTCGTCAGTGAGCACGTACAGGAAACGGTCGTCGGCGTATGCATTTAGTCTTTTCTCAGTAACTCAAAGCTAAGATGTCCCAGCTTTTCACCTGCATTGAACGCAGCGTTACCTTTGTGGATCTGGAGCGGTAAAGTCTAAAAAGCCTCGTTCGCAGGCAGATGATCCGTGATTTGTGCACGTGCACGACAGGTTGTAAAGCGCAGCTACTTTTGAGATTAATCCATGTCCGTACTCTTCTTCTCCCCTGGACAATATTTCAAACTTTTGATCTTTTAAAACCAGGTTTTTTTTGTTCGTCTTTCCATCACAAAGTAGAAAACCCAAACCAACCTGTGAATTTGAAGGTGGGGAACTGGTTGAGGTCTCCCCCGCCGTAAAGCCTCTGCAGCTTGGTTACTTCCTGAGAGAGGTTCTTCTGGTAGGCGGGGCCTGCGTCCACGATGCCACCGGCAGCCCTGAGGGAGCCAAGGCACCAAGCAACCATCAGAACCCATGAGAGCAACAATGACGCGGGGAGGGGGCCCTGAAATAAAATGTGAACGGTGTGCCATGAAGGAGTTTAACGAAGCTGCTCAACTCCAGAGGATACAGGTAAAGAGTTGAAGAGATGCTTCAAGTATCATTTGACGCTGCTTCTGTGCAAAATACACCAATATTTTAATTAGCAGCTCGTGTTAAAGATATTTATTGTCGAGATATAACAGAAGAAGATTCATCCACGATGTTTCCAGTTACATTGTAACCAGCTCTAATGTAACGCCCGACACCCGCACGCAACATACAAACATGGCGCTCTGCTGCCCCCGACAAACTCCGAACAGACGAGCGCCTCCCAAGGCAAAAGCCTGTTAAGTCTAAAAGGTCTTCAGTAAAAACAACAAAGATTAGATTTAGAAGATGAGCTCTTCCTTCCTTCGTCTAAAACTCTACTTGTGTTTCGTTTTTCCGACCCCGATAAGAACGGTGCATCGGCCATTAACGTCTCGATTTCAGCCGACAGCATATTTCCGTGCAACGTTATCATTTACGACCAATTCATACAGAAAATTTAACTTGACCTGTTCAAGAGCAGGTTCGTCCAGCTCGGACGTTAACCTCACTTCACAGCACACCCTCACAAAGCGTCTCTTTCATCGTGGCCGATCTTTACGCGCGGACTCGAATCCAAATACTTTCACTTCAGAGGTCATTTCATGCCGGAAAGGAGTTGCGTATCGTGAACTGACTTGCTCTTGTTGTTGTACTCCCGGATCTTGTCCAGGAACAGTTTCTGGACGGGGTCGAGCTCCTTGGCTTTGTTGAAGACGACGGCGGAGAGGCCGATGTTCCTGCGCAGGGTGAGGCTCGCAGCGGAGCGCAGCGCCGAGGAGAGCAGGAACAACCGATGAAGCGCCATCTGAAGGAGGAAAACCATCTCAGATCAGGACTGCCATCTCGGAACCGTCCATCTTTTTACGCAAGAGCGCACGTTTTAAGTTTTAGACAAATAAAAATCCTAAATCGTGAAGGTTAGTTAAATGTGAAGTTTTCAAACTGAGGTGAAAGTGACCCTGTGGTAGTAAAACTTATTTAGTCAAGTTCTGGATCTACAGAAATATTTATAAACTAGGCAACATTATCTTTTTTTTGTCTTATTTTAGTTTATTTGTCAAGGTCCACCTTTCAGTTATTCTCATTTCTTATACAGTAATAGACATTTAGAATAAACTAATAACATTAAAAGTTATTATTAACCTTAAACATGTAAAAAAGCATAACACAAATAGGTTTTTTAATCCAACATTGTTTAATTCAGCAAAAATCTTCTAAAAACCTGAAACTACTTCCCCTCTGAAAGTCTTAATGTTGTCAAACTCAGTAGACCTTCAAATATTTTAACAACAAATACACGTGACCTGCAAATAATATTTATAAATGTGAAGAACTCAGTAAATTTATAAGTTAAGAGCTACAAGGACGTTCAACTCATTTTAGCGTTAGCAACAGCTAGCTCTTTTGATGCTAACTTCTACTATAAACGGTTCAGAAACGATAGAGCAAACATTTATTTCAGCTTAAAATAACACCGTCACTGTGGCAATTTGATATATTTTATTAATTATTGTTCAACTTTTCGAGCAAAGGCAAAATGTTGACTTCACCACACACGCAGCTGCTAATGCTAAGTTTGTTTAAGCTAACGCGGCGGAGCTTTTAAGCGAAACTCTTTAATCTGGAGCTTTTTTTTTAAATACTCCCGAATTTGCAACAATTACATGCACGCATTTAAAAGAACGCAAGGCAGTCACCAACAACAGAAATGTTTTATATTATATTGATAGCAATCTTAAAAAGTCGTGCTCACCTTGAGTTTGACACTCGGAGCTAAAAGAGCCTGATGTGGAGAACCGCGGTGGATTGTGGGTAAGGGCGAAAGTTTTTAACGATTCTACTGCGCATGCTCAAAAGTAGTATTTAGCGATGCATTGTGGTCTAGATATTTTATGCGTATTTCCGGTTCATTTAACGTGAAATTAACTTTTAATTCGTTGCGTATTTTCGTTAACAATGACTATAGGATCCCCATCTCAATAAACATGAATAGTTAATTCGCTTTATGAACAATTGTTATTCTACCAATGCATACCGGAAGTTGCTATGACTATATGGGTAAGTGAGGCCAGACTGGTCTGTTGTACTTAATGGACACTAATGGTTACATGTTAAACTACGAACAATTCTATCCCCCTAAAGTTGAATTTACTTAAAGCTTTACCAAAACAATGTATTAATCAGATTCAAAATATAACAGCATACCATCCTATAATGGAATATCAAAATATTAGCCACCACACAATTAGAAGCTGTCTAAATTAAACTTTATTCCATGAGAAAATAAATAAAAATAACATACTTTGCAAATAAAAAAAATCAATAGAGGTGTTAAGAACTATTTAAAACTCCCCATACAACCAAAGGCTAAAGAACCACTTTAAATGTTTAATGCAGTTTACCCCTCCAAAGAGTTACTAAGAAATTAATTAATATTTATGATAAGAACTCATTTTGAGAAAAGGATATAGAAACAATAGACCATATCTTCTATGAATGCAACAAAACCAAACTTATTTTGGAATCACTTCTGAAAATGACACTTCCTGCATCTATTTCCAGACGTGGTCACATTTGGAGTATTATTGAAAAACAAAAAAATGGAACTCTTTTGTAATCTGATATTTTGTCTGGCAAAAGTATTTAGTCATTAACAGAGAGTGCTAAGATCATCCCCAGTTTTTAACTTTTTGTTAAATCTGAATTCCAGTTATATTTGAAATCTCAAACGCCTGTATGAAATGTTAATGAAAGTGCCCACTAATGCATGTTAATCCTAATCCTAATCTATATACCCCCCTTGTATTTTTTTAAATTCTATCAATTTTTACCTTGATGTTCCCATATCCAAGTCTGCCTCTACTATGCCCTTTTTAAATTTACATTTTTGGAGTTCAGAACGAGCCCAAACCATCACCCTTCCACCGCCGTGCCCATGAATTGCCATATTTGGTTTTGATATTTTCTTAAAAAAAAAAGTGAGGCCAGACTTTACGCATGCGCAGTGTTCACGTCCCTTGCTCAGTGATGTTTTTAAATTACATTACCCGTCAGGATAATAGCACATTATATCTATTTTTATTTTTTTTTAAAAAAGAGAATTTTAATAAGGTCATGCAACCGAATATAATATAAAAGTTATGTTCTAAAGATTTTTATTTAGAAATTGGCTGCTTTTTAGCTCAGACCCTCGTTAAAGAACATTTAACAGGAGCTCTAGAGTTCATCTGTTGTGAATGACTTCATGTTGAAGTACCCGTGAACTCAAAGGGAACAAAACGGAACGACTCGGACGTGAATGAATAAAAATAAAACGAGGACAAACGTTTCTTTGTATGTACATTCAAAACTTTAATAATGAGTACGGTGTAGAAAGCGTTTCCTCAGTCGATGCAAATGGCCCGCACGATATTACACAGTAGAAAACAAAAACAAATGTACAGCCCACAGGAAAAGGAAAAGAAAATCCTGCTTTCTCTTCTACTCTACTGCCCTCTGCTGGGCTTCTATTAAAGCACAGACCCCACAGCTGCAGCCCCCCCAAAACGAACACTCCCCCCCCCCCAGCGCTTCCTCAGACTGGGCGAAGGGGGTCTCACGGCGTTTCTTTACGTGCGAACATACGTCGGCGCTCCTGCTCCTCGGAGCAGTCGGGGAGCGGGGAAAAGAAAGACGGAGGCGGCGCGGGGAGGGAGGGGGGTGAAAATCCATTATATACACACAGACCGCCTGAACGGAGGAGTCCTCTCCTCTCCTTCCTCCTCTTCTCCCAGCGCTCGACCTATTTGATCTACAGAAAGCAAAACGACGACTCGACTGAAAAGGAGGAGGAAGAAAAAAAAAAACGTACAGAAAAAAACACGAACATGCAGAATTACTCCTCTAAACCCGACGCGCTGCTTTTTCGCAGCTCAGACGTGAAACGATGAGAATCGGGAGCGATTTCAGGTGAAAATTCAGAAAAAGGCAAAGCCAGCGCCCCCCACCCCACCCACCGCCGGGCCATGCAGCTTCAGGAAACAAAACCGTTTCATCGCCTCTTCTCTCAAATCGGCCACTCGGAGGACACGAGAAGGTTTTTTTTTTTTTTCAAACCGGTCTTTTTATTCACAGACGTACAAAGTTACATGCTCAGAGCCTCGTCAGTATCTGCACCGGACAGTGAGGCAGGAAGTGTTTTTATATCAGATTCAAGGTCAAGACGACCTTTTCAGCCGTGCACCTGCAGGCTCCTCTCTGAGCATTAACTCACATTCATTTAACTTTAGTTGGAGACGAACATCCATAAACTTTTACCCGACATGCCCCGCCCCCTTGTTTGTGGGTGCTCTGACATGCCCCGCCCTTTTGTTTGTGGGTGCTCCGACATGCCCCGCCCACCTGTTTGTGGGTAATAACCTTGGTAACTCTGCTGCAAACTTTACGCGATGAACCAGATTTGTTTCCGTCCTTAGGCGTCGTGAGGACGCTAAATGTAAAATCCCGCAAGAATGACAATCTACAGGTGTTTTTTATTTTTGTAAATCCAGTTGTCATGCACGCTACGGAGAACAGCGAAGACTTCAGCAACGTTACACGCCATTAAAAATAAACATGACTTTACGTCGGTCGGTCTATTCTGTTTTTTTTTTTTTTTTAATTTTCTGTCTTTTTTGAAAAAACAAAGTGGAAACGAGGAACTCTTCGTCTCCCGATGCGAGAGCCTCGTGTGACTTTAACACAGCCCAGCTGTCGTATGAAGATGGAGACGATGGAGAGGAGGGGGTGATGGAGGGGGAGGGGGGGTACTTTAGCTCCAGTGTGGACCGTGGGGCCAACGCCTCGTTTAAAACAAACGCTCCACGTTGAACGATCGGCGTGCGGCCGAAAAGAAAAGCCCGGCCTGACGCCGGCCCTGAATCAGTGCGGAGAAAATCGGGTTTTGTTTTTTTGCGTTGACCCCCCCCCCCCCCCCTCGGCGGCGGTTGGGGGGGGCCTTCTTTCTGTACGTCAGCAGGCCCAGACGGGAGCGACGTGTAAAAACTCATTTTATCGAAGAAAACAAAAATTGTGAAGTGAACGAACGGAGAAAAGAAAAAAAAAAAAAAGAGACTGAAGTCGCTCCGAACGCTCGATCTCAGATCCTCTTGGAGACGTGAGGCCGGTTGTAGGGGGAGGGGGTGTTGATTGGGGGGGGGGGGGGGGGGGGTGATGGTGCGTTCATGTGTCTACACGTGACGTTCTGCTCAGTTCTGCATCTGCTCGAAGAACTTGTAGGTTGGGTTTTCGTAGCCGTTCTGCTGCATCTTGGACAGGTGGCGCTCCTCGGGGGTGACGGCGGCGTCCACCTGGACACAGAAAGGGGCGGAGTTACTCACAGAGAGAAGCTCGGGTGTGTGAGGTGCACGTGACAGCTTTAAAAAGTATTACCACTCGACTGCAGGTTTTTTTCCTCACCTCGATGACCCCGTGGTGGATGGAGGTGTACTGCTTCTTCCTCAGCATCACCAGGGTGATGACGATCACGGTTGCTATGACGACGCCTCCAACCATCAGGCCGATGATGGCCCCTTTGTTGGAGCCGACGTCCTCTGCGAAGAAGACCTGCGGCCGGCAATGAAGGGCAGATGGTCAGCGGAGGTCAAGATTAAAGTTAAATTATGCAGATTAAACAATAATCCAGATTAAACAACTACTCAAATTAAACAAT